AATCGTCTGCAAGCATGTAGAATAAGTTTGAGGTACCAACCTAATCGTGGACTGCCTTATGATGATGATGATGCAGAAAGGTGTATAAAAAGTGACCAGTGACAGCCGGCCATCTCTTCTCTTAGTTTAGTATATTTTTTCTCTATTTCGAAAAATATGGATTCTTGCTCTGAGGAAGTCTGTCATGATGAGATAGACAAGAGTCTAGCACATGTTGATCTGGGTCGCAGGACGCTGAGCCGAGCACTGCTTCGCACAATACAACAGTCGTGACTCCGCAGAAATGCTCCTTCGTTTTCTGGTGAGACAATCTCACGAATTCCTTTCAACCATCTTTTCATTCGAAATGGAAGGTCATGTCCTACAAATCATTAGGGAGATTTTTTAAACAGGTTTTTAATATTTCTTCCTCTATACCTTATTTTTTATAATGTCGTGCAATCTAAGACGTGAATTTTTAAAAATAATGTTAATACTGCAATTTATGTGTAGGTGCACTAGCAGACCTATTTGGAAGAGGTTATCTTGTCATTAAACCTTCTGTGCAGGTTTATAGGTCCCAAAAAATTGCTGGTTTAGCACATGACTAACACAGAACACCGAATTATCCCGCCCTTTGTGGAATACAAATAGTTTACATTTAATCGTGAGTTTAAGATGCAGATATATACACCAAAATGCCATCCTTCTGAAAAGTATTAACGAGGCAGGAAGCTAAGTCGGAAATAAATTTTAATGTTGGATATGCTAATTAAAAGTGACGGAGAGTATGGAGTAGGGAGAAGAAAAGACAGCATGTCCCTGAATAAGTCCATGGAGCTCATACCCACATTATTCATAATAACTGGATTCACACGATACACGTGTAAACCTATATGTAACCCAACTTCAACGTTTAAAGATGAAAAGCTAGTCCATTTATGTAAGTAAACAGGCACTAACACACCTATATCCCTTTTATTCATTAATTTCACTCGGTATATGAAGTGACTAGGATGGTAACTGACCATATTTCCTGATTTAATGACTTGGTGCTTTGTTTAAATGAGTGTTTCCAGCTCCCATGATGTCTGGTACTGAATGCTGATAGAGTTCGCAACAAATGGACCGAGGTCATAAAACCATAAGCCGGGGACTTATACACATCATAAAGAACTTTAAGAATATTCTTATTCACTTTACGGTGCGACAGCCTTGCGAGTCCCTTCCGGTCAGCTTTTAAATCAAAATGAAATAGGCAGTCTAATATAAAGCCAAACACAATTTAGCCGTGAAACTTTAGCTTTCGAATGACACGAGCACAAATAAGAGGTTGCAGGTTAAGGATTTCTCCGAACAAGTAGCAACTAGCTTTCGTAGTTGAGTCAAAAGACCTGAATGGCTCCTTACCAAGGCCTGATTTTTCAAAAGAATCAGAGCCTTGTATCGTAAAAGTTGAATAACTCAAATTCCAGAAATTTGAATGCAAACGATTTTTGGTTGTGCAAACCGCTATTTGAACCTTAGTTAATTAAACCAGTCTCTTAATCCTGAATTCAATAAATGTCTAAAAAACAGGAAATTTCATTTAAGGGAGAGCTTATTACATAAACTAGCTTAGCTTACCTTAACTGACTGGACGAAAATATAAAAACAGCATGTTCTTTGTATGACCTAAGGTTAAATAGTAAAATGCCTTAAATCTGCAATATCTTATTCCAATATTGCTTACAAGCCATCTTACATTTGATTTTTGTCAAAAAATTTTTAAGCCTCAGTTCTCATAGCATCTTGCAAAATAGAATAGAATTCCGATAAAAAACGGTTTTCCTTCTTCACAAATTTTGAGGTCTTAGTCAGAATTACTAAACGTGACTCAATGGAATCATTTAATATAGAATCAAATTTAATTCTATTATAAACGAAGAGGGTTTGTTTCACAGTTTCGACCAAATAGCGAATGCTGGAAAGTCAATACACGAAAGATATTTTGTATTTAAATAGAAATTTGACTTCTTTTGTCACTTAAGGTGATTTATGGTTTATCATTTGTGTTTCTCCATACTAAAATAACTAAGCCTCATAATTTTACTGAATTTTAATTAGCCTTGGCTCTATATGGTTTAATGAACTGGACTAGGTTACAGGTCCGACCTGATTTGGGTCTTATCTTAATGGAAGTCGAAACAATGGGGATAGAGGATGCATAACTGCTCCGTCAGAGTCCTGGCCTACTTCGAAATTCACACCTAACCTGTGACTTTGTGGCATCCATGGCTGTGTGGTGGAATAACAGCGTGTCGCTACCACACGAATTCAATGCGAAGGCTCTTTAAGAGACAGGTCTATAAAAATTCAATGACATCGTATAGGTTAAGCATTTTATTCTATAAAAATTCAACTATCACTTCATAACATACCTTACTCAATTGCTTATTAAAGCATTAATATAACGTAAAAAACATGCTCGCATCGAGTATTTTTCACAATCTGTGTAATTTTGAAGCATCTTGGCACTTGGGCATTCAGGAAAGCAGAATACTATTAATGCCGACTTATTAAATATGTATTCATGCAAGTTCGTTTAAGGTGATGGAGAACTGCTTGTTTCAACTTTCCCACAATGATGTGTGAAGACCCTATATTTCAATGAACTTCACATAGCTTTGCTTACTAAAAGATAGTCATAAAAACCTACTTATTAAACGAAAAATAGATTATTAAAGGTCTATATTAATGCATAAAAACAAAATTTCTCTTGAAGCCAGAATGACTAATAAGGATGCAGGATATAATTGTTACATGATCCTTTATTAGCATTGAATTTGATCAAGAATTAGAATAATTCATTTTATAATAGTTTTTGACCTGTAGTCTACATATAAAACAAAAAGATACAATTCTAAATGAGATTTCTTCAATTTGCTTTGCTATTTAAGTGGTGTATTATACCATGAAGAGGGTTTATACTCTTCGAAGGGATGGGAAAATTACGTGTTAATTTTCTCGGGCCTCCATGATGTGAGCATTGTATTAAGATAAGTTGCCAAAAAAATCAGTAAGTATTTACATAGAACTTCAGAAAAATAATTTATCAGATTTCAATAACCATGTATTATTTGCTATATTTATATAAGTCACTAACTCTTATAAAATGCAATCCAGTAATATGCATAATATTACGAGTGGATTTACATGATAAAAGATCAAATAACTGCTATCTTGTATCTTTCTTCTTACTTTTTAATGTTTATTAGGGGAACATTCATATTGAGCATGCTTTAAGTAAAAAATAAAAATTAAGGAGCATACTTCAGGGTATAAAATTAAAATATTCATGTACATATTTATGTACACCGGTTTCATTTAGTTTTTATTCATTTTCACTTGAATGCTTCTTGTTTTGGCCAAGCAGTTCAAGGTTCGCTGACGGACCATTTCTAATTCTTTCTTTTTATTATCTATAGCATCTACACACGTCTCATAGTTAAGTAGTAAATCATTCCTTCCTAGAAGACCGCATGATCTTTTGAGACGAGAGTTGCCAGAGCGTAACTTATCTCTAGTCTGCTTGAGCCGCGTATTTTTGTCACGGTGTTGGGTAAGCTCTTTATCTACGGCATTAAGATAATCTCGATGTTCTACTAATTCATATTGTATTGACTGTAGTTTCTCTTTAACATGCGTCATAATTTGAACAGTGGTGGCAATTTTCTTTTTCAGTTTTCCTAATTCTTCATTCCTTTCCTCTATTTTTTCGTTGTATGTCTGGTTTTCTATTTTAAGTTGTTCAAAATCAATTAAATGCAGGCCCTCGGCTAATTCTTCCTTAGACTTAAGAATCGATTCAAATTTGTTAACCTCATTTTGAAGTTTTATATTTTCCAGACGAACTTCAACCACTGCTGCTTCTTTTCTCTGTTCACTTGCTTGTAGATTTTCAATGTCTCTTAGATTAAGTGGTCGACCTGTTCGACTATTTAAAGACTTTTTGGCTATATTGTATTTGAACGCGGCAAATTCATTCTGAATAGCATCAACTTCAGTTTGCCTTAAGTTACAAAATTGTTTAAGTTCATTAATTTGATCCTTATAAGAGATTTGAAGCGCTTGATACTCTTTTCTTAATTCAATCAAATGCGTAATGTATCTATTATAGCGTTGTTCAAAATCAACAGATTGATCATTCATACTTCCTGAAGTATTCGAGGCCAATTCAGCATTTTCTGCCTTTTTTCTCCTAAAATATTCGGATATTTTCGTTTGCATGTGAGCATTTGCTTCCCTAAGAGATTTATTCTCGCCCACATAGTAGTGATATTTTTGTATAAATGATTCACGCCGTTGAAGTCTTTCAAGTTCAGAGTCCTTTGTAATATTATCTTTAATTGTACTCATCCTTTCTAGAGTTTCTTCAAAAGACATTGCACATAATGAG